TACTCAGAGTCAAGACAGACTCCACTGGCAGTGAGTAAGGCATACCTATGGACTCATGGAGTACATGACGAAGATTGCTCGACATGGAATGGTGTGTCACGGTGTGTGCGCGCTTTAAAAATTTGATCTGATAACGGCCAAAATCCGGGGCAGCGTGAGCACGTTCCTTGGATTCCTTGGATTCCCTCTGTTTTGACTGCCACCTGCTTTCATTCCGAGCTAGAGTTCCGAGCCCTCTCCACCAAAACCCGCCGCGCTTGCCGAATCAAATTCAACCGAGGTCATTGTGGCATCCACTCCAATGCCGAACGACCTGAACTTTCCAAAGCCAAAGGAAGGTCTGCAGCAATTGCAGCAGCGGTGCAGCTCCATGGCGCTGTGGGAGCATCGGCCCGCCGCCGGCAGCAACGCCATTCTTTTATTGCGTCGCACAAACATGAGCCGAAGGGAGCTTTTACCTGCTCTAACGAGACGAGTCCCTTAGGCGATTACCTAGCTACATGACAGTAAACCCTGTGACCATCCCATGGCATCCATCGGCGTGTGCCGTTCGGTAAAAGCCAGCACTGCAACGGAGCATCCACCTCGGCGCATGAACATGGCTAATTGGGACAACGGCTTTGGGTTCTTCTTGCAGCTGCCAGCTGGACTTTATTTTAGCGTTCCCTGCCCGTCTGTCTGCTACCTTTTCCTCTTTCCTGAACCTCTTCTGAACTAGAGAGAGAGCGATTTTTGGGGGTGACTTCTATTTTAGTCGGGGTTTTCTTACAACACCAAAGCTCCTCCCACTTTCGAGAGGGTCCCCTTTCCTGCCTGTCCTTCTTCACAAGCTTGGCCATTGACGTGACGTCGAACAGAGGAGAAACCCACATACAAGCTTTCCCAACCCGCTTCCTCTCTTTCTCTCTCACACCTCTCGCCCTCCGATCTTCGGGATAAAGCTTTACGACCGACCCCGAGCTCGAAAACAGGACCCTACCAAGGAGCTTGTATCGCACAAACCCTTGGCCGTAGTGAGACTTTTTTTTCGGTTCCTTTTACCGTCCTCTTTTCTTTTTCCTCGGACGGAAAGAAACCACCAACAGATCGGATTCCACGAGACAACAAGAAAGCCCGCCCAAAAAAAAAAAAAAAAGCCGGCCAACACCTCGCCCATCATGTCCACAGAAACAGCCGACCAGGCGCCCGCCGTCTCCGACCTCCCCTCCGGCGACCCCATCCCCGCCGCGCCCCCGCCGCCGACCGCCGCATCACCAGCTCCCATAGCAACCCCGAAAGGCACAGCCAAGAAGCCCACCCTCGCCCAGATCCTCGCCGCGACGCCCTCCAACGTCGACGCCTTCGTCGCCCACCTGAACCGCTGCTTCGCCACCCCGTCCGGCATCGACGCCGTTCTCTGCTGCCTCTGCTACACCTCTCGCTTCTCCGCCTCCGTCATCGACTCCCTCAGCGCCTCCGCCCTCCGCCACTCGGCCCGCAAGCTCGTCGCCCTCGCCTTCTCCCTCCCGCCCGACACGACTATCCTATTGAGCAAAGCGCCGCCCGCCGCGGCGGCCGCGAGCCGCGGCATGCGCGTCGCGGGACACCTGAGGGCGCTGGCGTCGCTTCTGAGCGAGGCGCGCACGATTACGAGGTTGTGGTCGCTGCTGCCTCTGTACCTCTGGCTCCGCCGCCTCATGACGACGCCGGCCATCACGGAGGAAGAAAGGGAAAAGGGCACAAAGGACGCGTCGGAGGCGGCGCTGGATCGGGCCCTCTCGTGGCTGCAGGTCGTGGCGTGTCTGATCCTGCAGTCGCTCGAGAGCTCGTCGTACCTCGCGTCCAAGGGGGTGCTGCCGATGACGCCCAAGCAGCAGGGGACGGCGGCGCGGTGGAGCGTGCGGTTCTGGAGCGTGTTCGTGGGCAGCGAGCTCGGCCGGCTGGCGATCGAGAAGCTGCGGCGGCGGGCGGCGATCCGGCGCGGGGAGCTGGAGGTTGGTAGCGAGGAGTACAAGGAGTGGGCGGACGTCTGGGGCAGGACGCTGGCGAGGCAGGCTTCGTGGTTCCCGCTGACGGTGCACTGGAGTATGGATAAGGGGTTCGTGCCGGAGATGGGGATCGGGTTGTTGGGGAGCATCCCTGGTGTTGTGCAGATGCGGCAGTTGTGGAAGGAGACTGCTTGAGAGGACGAGGCAGTATAGGGTGGGATGGGGAGAACTCGAATAAGACTGGGGACGAGGAGGAGGTGCATATGAGACGGATAGACGCACCATGCCGCCACTATCGAGACAGCTTTTCTGTGTAAAGCTTCGTGGTATCAGAGTCTGTTGTGACGCGGGCGATCTGCTCGCTGGTGTTGGGTACGAATTTTCCATTTCATGTTTATGATACAATAGATGTCAATATATTTCTCAAAATATCAGAATCCCAAGCACAAAACGCTATGCCCATCTCCGCCTCTTTTCCCAGTCTAAACGCCAACCCCCCCCCCCCCCCCCCCCCCCCCCCCCCACCCCCCCCCCCCCCCCACACCACCCCCCCTACCCCCCCCCCCCCCCCCCCCCCCCACCCCCCCTTCCCCCCCTCCCCCCCCCCCTCCCCCCCCCCCCCCCCCCCCCCCCCCAAGATCAGACCACACTCATGTGTACACGACGACTTCACATGGGCATCCTCCTTACCTCCTCCATCGTCCAATACTTTCTCATATTCTCCGCCCCCAACGTCTCCACCTCTTGATCGAGGTGCGTCCAGAGCACCTCCCCCCAGCTATCCATCTTCTCCTTGAGGACGCCGAGCTCGAGCTCCGTCTCGCGGTCGCGACAGGCGCGCAGGTAGGCCTCGAACTTGTCCATGCCGTCGTGGATCTGCTTGTGCTGGCGGAGGAGCTCCGCACCACCGCCGCGGCCGCCGGTGCGGAACTCGGGCATGCGGCGGGCAAGCATGGGGAAGACGTGGGCTTCTTCGATGCCGTGGTGGGCGGTGAGGTGGCGGGTGAATTGGAGGCCGGTGTCGAGGAATTGCTTGAGGGACATGTTTTGGGGGCGGCGGCCTGTTGAGGCTGCTGTGTGGAGGAGGGTCCATTGGTGGCGGAAGTGGTTGTGCTGGGCTTGAGGTTAGTCTTTTTTTTTTTCCTCTTTGAGGCAGTGTGGACAGTGTCTTGTCTTGTCTCATTTGCTTTAGGTGTGTGGGAGGATTGAGGGTATTCAGAGATGTGTGAGGTTTTGAAGGGATGAGGGTGCGTGATGAGATTGGGGCGCGTGAGTGAGTGGGTTTCTTCTTACAAAGTAGTTCATCTTTTCTGCCATTTGGTTGTAGACTTTGAACTCGGCCGGGGTCAGAGGTGGTAACTCAGGCTTCGCTGGAGTGGCATCCTCCGTCGACGGTGCTGCCGCCGCCGGCGTTGCTTGTGGTTGTTCGGTCGCGCTGGCAGACATGGTGTTGAAGGTACGGATATTCCGAAGTTCAAGGATTGGGTAGTGAGTTTTTGCGAATGCGCTGTGCGCCGGGGAGGGATGACGACGGGGTCTGGAGATGAGATGAACTGCGCGGGTGCGGCTACTTTGCGACAAGATTCTGCTTGCAGGCGCCACCACTTTCATGGTATTTGGAGAAAGGGCAGTTCAAAGGAAGTTTCGTTCTCTGGCTTATTTCATGGAGGGGGAGGGGGGATGATCTTTGGAGGTTTTATCCTGGGATCATGCGCGCGCGGGAGACCACGCCGCCGCCGCCCCTCCATCCGAGCGATATGCTAAGGCTTGTAGGAATTGCCCGCGGCGGGTAGACTAAACTGTTTACAGACGGAAGCAGGAAAAGTAGCCCCTGCAAGTACACCGCGCGGCTGACGGTGCTTGGATTTGGGGTTTGTTCGATTGGCCACCACTCCCCGCCAGATTCTGTGTTGGAGAGACATTGGAGACTGGCTAGAAGCCCACTTTGCTCCTAAGAGCAGAATCAGATGCCAGCAACTTCACGTTTTCTCTGGAAAAATATCGTGAACTCGACTGAGGCATTAAATGGAATATCTCATTCACCGCATTCACGACTTCTGGTTTCTCAATGTGACCGACCCATGGGTTGGAAGAGATTTCATTTCGGCGTTCGCAGATTGGTTGGTGACCCTCCTTACTCAGCTCTTTGAAAGCGGAAAGCAAGCGCGAAGGCGGGCGGCGCTGCGGCAGTCGCATTTTCCCGACTCGCTCTTTGACGTTATGAGAATCCACATATTATTCTCATTTATCCATCCGACCGCTACCGCGCGCGTTCCATTGGTAATAAGGTAGGTAGGAGACAGAGACTCGGCCTCCGATCTTGTCCACGCCGCCCCGCTCCGGACCGGTACACATCCGGAGTGCTTTCCCATATCCGATAGCGGGTCTTCTACTCACGCGGGCCCGGTCTCTCGGCCCGTCTACGGCATCTGCACTCATCACGTGTTCGTTAGGCCATGCGTGCATGCGGGGGCAGATTTGCACTGCACTTTTAACTCACACCAGCTCAACAGTATGCCACCTTAGACTTTATCGAGGCAGATAGGTGGTAGTCTTGTTTCACGGCATTGGACTCCTCGGCTGCTTTCCATTGGTCAGTACCGCTCCCTGAAGCTCGGTCGATTCCGCGGTCCGGCGGTCCCCACCATCACAGGCAGCAGCAGGCAACAGCACGACCAGACATGGGCAAAGGGAGAACTCGACAAGCAACGTGACTTCGTGGGAATCTCGCGTCCTGTGGTCGAGCCTCTGCGACTGTTAGGCGCCATCCTTAAACCATTTGAACTTTACCGTCGAGACGCGTTGCAGCCTAATTGGAACCACAAATATCCCACGGCCGTCTAGCATCGATCCCCATCCTTGCCTCTTAGCGATCCTCAAGGCGGTGCTGTACAAGAGCTCGAGATCTTCCGCACTAATAGATTGAAATCCATCTGCAATCCCATCGTCTCATCATTCGTACCATCGTGGTCAGGAATTGGATCGAGGCTGTTTTCATCAGCTCTTATCATACTCGGTCTCTGACTGCCACAAATGGAACTGGCAGCAGCTAATATGTCGACCACGCTGACTGTCCGCGAGCGGCTCACACTCTGCAAGTGGGCCGACAGACTACCTGGTGACATCACTCCAACCCTCGCGCGCGGTGCGGAATGGGTCAAGAGCGAGTTCGGAAAGGATGTCCCCGAATTCGTCATCCGGACCGTCCTAGACCGGTCGGACATGACGGATGACTTTCAAGCCTACGTAAGACTTCCTTAACCAACCCCTATCATAGTAGTATAGTGGCTAACAATAAGGAAGAACGACGGCGAGATCGCCCCCCTGATACGTCCAGGTTTCGGCAAAGAATTCTGGGAGATGCCCGACGACGATGCCGCGTTCCCCAGCGCCGTGCAGGAGTGGAAGGCATCCACCCTGACGTGGGGAGAGATCGCCATCTTGTGGTTCGTTGAGAAGATCACGAACAAGCCCGATTGGCATGTCAAGGTCTTTGATGAGGAGATTGTTGCAAAGTGGAAGCAGGAGGTCATGGCTGTTGACTGGAAGGCTGTGGGTCTCAAGTATGCTTATTTCGACGACGATTTGTTTACCTTTGTAAGTACTAGGCTGCATCTGAGACGGCTTCTCGTTGAACAGCGACCCCTAACCTGCAATGCAGGCGCTTGCTGAGCTCCGCGAGAAAGCCAAGCTGTTCGAAGCCACTGGCCTGATCCCCATCTTCGATGCCTCGTCCGCCGTCATCAAGTCTGACAGCGCCATCACCCCGGAAGTAAAAGAGGAGCTCAAACAAGGCGTGGCCGCTCTCGAAAATATACCCGAGAACGAAAAGGACTGGCATCCCGGTAGCGACGGCAAGGTCCTGGACCTCGTGCACCCTTCTCTCTGGCCTCTTGTCTTTGGAAAGTCTCGCATCGTCGCCGCTAAGCGCATCCTGCTCAAAGACACGCTGGCGGCCTGCGGCACAGGAGACGTCATCCCCGTTCCCAAGAAGAGGTATCCCGACCACCAATCCTCCGACGACCTGTGGTCCGTCAAGTACCAGTGGCTCCCGTGCGACATCGACATCGAGGAGGGCAAGCCGAAAATCATGAGCTACATCAACAACCTGCACCCCCAGCATCATGCCAGTCTCTACACCACCATCGAAAAGGTGCTCGAGAAGGCTCTCCCCATGTGGGATCTGGTCTACAGGTGGCACGAAGACTACGAGATCCTCCGCATCCCCTGTGAATCAGCCCGGACACAATGCCTAGCGGAGTGCAGCCGGTGGTGTTGTCCCGAAAACCGCCCGGTAGACCCAGACGAGGCCGAACGTGACGAGGACGAATTCAACGACGACTCCGGCGGGTATAGCGCCGAGGAGCCCAGCCGCGAAGTCTGGCGGAGAGACAAGATCTGGTTTGAACGCACCCACCCAATCGAGAAGCCACCGGTCCCCGCGTACAAGCCCATGGAGCTGCAGCCCAAGGACGTTAACCTGACCTCCGGCTTCTTCAATCATGCCGACCGCATCCAGGTCATTGTGAAGCTCGCCAACATCCACCTCACGCCCGAGAAGCCGACGTACGACGGCGGGTCCTGGCACATTGAGGGCCAGCTGAACGAGCACATCGCCGCCACCGCGCTCTACTACTACGACAACGAGAATATCACCGACAGCCACCTCGCCTTCCGCACCGTCGCCGACAGGGAGGAGCTCATGGGGGAGCTCAACTACGAGCAGGGCGACTTCCACACCATTGACCGGACGCTGGCGATCAACTCCGTCGCGGACACGAACCAGCGCCTCGGCAGCGTGCTCACGCGCGAGGACAGGCTTCTCGCGTTCCCCAACGTCTACCAGCACTGCGTTGCGCCGTTTGATCTCGTCGACAAGACCAAGGCGGGCCACCGCAAGATCCTCGCGCTGTTCCTCGTGGACCCGAGGATTCCGATTATTAGTACGGCGAATGTGCCGCCGCAGCAGAGGGGGTGGTGGAAGGAGGGCGCGGCGCCGGGAGACCGGTTGGGGACGTTGCCGCCCGAGGTTACGGATATGGTGTTTGATAATATGGATTTTCCGATTGGGATCGAGGAGGCCAAGAGGATACGGACTGATTTGATGGAGGAGCGGACGACGATTGCCGAGCAGGGGATGGGGGTGATGACGACTATGGAGTGGAACTTTTGCGAGCACTGAGTCTTGCGGAACCGGGACCCCGTTGTGTTGTGTTCGTATCGAAGGAAGGGGACCGCGCAGTCGTAGCGGTGAAGGGAGAGAAACATTGGAAGCTGTGTTGAGACGTTTGCTTGACCGGCCTGAAAGTTGACACCAGATATGTCAAAAGCTGTGCAAATCGTGTCACCCCAGCCTCAGCTCCTGACTGCGGTTGTGGTCCGATTGGACGATCTGGCGGCATCCTGCAGTCCCGCAGTAAGACAAGTGGATTTTGTCTCATGTCGTCTGCCAATACGTTAGCTGCCCGTGAAACATCGAGAGTCGATGCCAGGGCACAAGAGCCTACTCATAAGGTTCGTCTCATTCAGGAGTACGCGTTGCTTGTTAGAAAATATGGTATAAATCTTGTCCCTTAACAAATTTGTCTCGATACTCACCTCGTACCGGCACACATTCTGGTGTCCTTCATGTCGGCCACTGAAACCATCTACTCCCAAACGCAGCAACTCATCGGCCTCACTTCATCATGCTTTACTATCTCATCCACAGCTTCAAGTCCAACAAGGACGCCGAACCTAGCCTCGAGCCACCAAACCACCAAGATGTCTCAACCTCTGAAAAATGGCTCGCCCACAAAATCCACCAACCAACAACCACCACTCCCACCCTGAACCTAGAGACCGCCACCGCCACCGTTGTCGACGACCTAAACCCAAGCCTCACCAACCTCCGCACCGTCGTCGAAAATGACCCCCACCTCGCTGTCCTAGCAGACCAAATGTTCACTCAAGCCGCCGCCCTCCAGCCCCGCGACCCGACAGAGCAACCCGCCGTCCAGTCCTTCCGCCAGTTCCTGCAGGTCGTCAACGTCATCATGCGCTCCGGGCCGCAGTTCTTTGACCGGCCGGGTAATGAGGATGCCATGGGGTTCGTGGCCGCGCCGATCAACGCCTTGTTGAATTATCCCATGGGCACGGCGGCGGGTTACGAGTTCTTTCGGAGGTCGGAGGTAAATGAGGCGATGGGGAAGGTGTTAAGTGCTTGGGGCGAGTTTCTTGCTTCGGGGGAGTCGAGGGGGTGTTTGAGGGCTTGGGTGTCTGCTTCTGGGCAGGTTGTGATGGCGGAGAGGGCGAATGGAAGGTTGGAAGGTGGAGGGTTGGGGTTTAAGGAGTTGTTTTTTTGTCCCGATGCTGAGGATATGGAGACGCTTGGGTATGAATCGTGGGATGCGTTCTTTGTAAGGCGGTTTCGGGAGGGGGTGCGGCCTGTGGAGTTTCCCGATGACGAGGACCACAACGGCGGGGAGAAGCTGTCTGTCAAGGGCAGCAGTGGCACTGTTGACATTCAAGTCGACGACAACACCTCGGTCATCGTCAACGCGTGCGAGTCGGCGCCGCTGCAAGTCGTATCCGACGTCGCCCTCCGAGCAGACGTCACGCTAAAGGGCCAGCCGTACTCCCTCACCGACATGCTCAACAACAACGCATTCGCGCCGCAGTTTGTCGGCGGGACGATCTACCAGGCCTACCTGAGCGCCTTCAGTTACCACCGCTGGCACGCGCCAGTGGGTGGGCGGATCGTCGAGGTCGAGATGATTCCGGGGACGTACTTCAGCGTCAACAGATACCAGGGTATAGCCGCGTGTGACAACGACAATGAAGACACAGATGGTCCGGATCCGCAGGCGCCGTGTAGATCGCAGGCGTACACCGCTTCCGTGGCGACTCGTGCGGTGGTGTATATCCAGGCGCGGAATCCGAGGATCGGGTTGATGGCGATTGTGTTTGTGGGTATGACGGAGGTGTCTAGCTGCGAGGTGACTGTACGGGCTGGGGAGGAGGTTGTGAAGGGGCAAGAGATTGGGATGTTTCACTTCGGGGGCAGTTCGCATTGTTTGGTATTCCGGCCGGGTGTCGAGTTGAGATTTGTTGAGAACCGGTCTCCTGCGGGTCTTGAGGGGAATAATAGGGTGAATAGTGCGCTCGCTTTGGTTGAGTGAGGGCGCAGGCTGGTGCATCTGTATATGCTCGAGTTCAGGGCAAGAATGCATTCATCACGTATAGTCTCTGGCTCAGTATAACTGTTACCAGACTACTATCCCCCGGATGGGAAGTTTAGTAGTTGATATAATGTGCTGAAAAGATGTGTTTCCCCTGACATCACTACTACAAACGATCGAAAACCCGTTCTCTGGCGGATGTGCATATTGAAAATATCAAACAGAGACGCCATGTACCTGGCGTTCACGATGTAGCACGGCAGGGGAAAAGGGGTTCTGAGTAGCTACGCACTTCTCATTGTAGTACTTTAGAGGCCAATTCAATATACGACAAGACCTCAACGAATATGTAACGTACTCCTTCTTCCCTCGTCCGTGAACCAGAACCCAGCCGGCGATGCCGAGTCTTCGGGTCTCGTCAGCATTTCCCCTTCCATCCATCCCTGGACGAAGCAGGTGCCACTAAACCTGTACACAGTCTTCCCATCTACACTGTCAACCTCTTGCAGCAATACTGGCACAGAACACGTCGCTATCACAGCCAAAAGCCACGGCTTGTCGAAAGTCTTTTCCGAGATGTAAGAAGGTAGGAGGGCCATGTACCCCTTTTTCGTGATACAGAGCGTCCTTCCTCGAAGCACAGACTGTACGATATCAAACCACCACCGCCCTTCATAGCTGAAAGGCCACTCGTGCGTCGGGATATGGCGCGACTCTGCAGTAATACAGTCGTAGTGAAGCCACGCGCTCTGCTCCTTGGTCTTATTGAGGCGAGCACTCAAGGCCTCCAGCTTTTCCGGGTCCTGTCCGCGGCGATTCCAGGCCGAGGTCACGTCGCCGTGGAACATGGCGATGGCTGATTGTAGAGGATCATCGTACGGGTTGGCTTTGCGGTCTTTATAGATCTTTGGTATGGCTGCTGTCCACTCTTGGAACTTGTAGAAGGCGTCTGGATCGGGTGGATGGAATACGTGTCCTGAGGGCATCCTCCCTGGGTCTTCGATGATTTCATCAATCTCGTCTATGACAATGCCGCGACAGTTGAGATTTCCCTTGTTGAAGCTGAAGAGTTCTTCAAAGTCGCGAAGCTGTCCAATTCCTCCATCAGCAGAGTAAAGCTCGCCGTCCAAGTCGTCCATCAGCCTCATGGACCTCATGGGGATCCTCTCTCGGCGGACGAGGCAGCTTGTGGCTGCTGGGACGGTCCAATCGGGACACCAAGACGGCACGAGACTGTAGAAGTCATCGACGTTGTGCCATGGCTCAGAGGCGGCGATGATATCGAGACTTCCGTGCTGTCTTGACCAAGCTGTTGCGAAGTCAACAAAGACTTGTTGGCGGCTTTTGTTATAATCCAGCTTGAAGTCGAGCCCCTCCTTATCCTGCGCCAAATTCCACAGAGCGAAGATCTTGTCTCTGCCGTCAGTTGCCTGGAAGTCTCGTGTGAGAATGGCGGCCTCGAGAAAGCCAGGGCTGTCCTTCCTGACGGTGGGTGAGAAAAACGGGGAGTACAGCTCTCCTCCGGCCATCAGGTGCCTAAAGTAGAAGAGTTTGCGAATGAATATGAGCTCGTCGTACGATAGACCAAATTGATGTAGCTGCGGGTCTGCTATTATCATCTGCGTTCTGAGAACGGGGTTGAAGGCTATCATGGCCTGCAAGTTGTACGCGGCGGCGTCGAGGGAACCGAATGCGACGGCTTTGCGGTTGTTGACTATCACTGCGGGATCTGACGAGATGGCGACTTCTTGGACGACCCAGACTCGTCTGAAGTACGGACGGCACATGAACTTGTATAAAGCCGCACAACGCGCAGGATAGAGATCCGGACCAATCTTTTCCCCCTCTTTCCCGATGTCGTACTCACCCTCCTTATTCATCTCAATCTTGAGCTGGTCCATCGGCTTAACAAAGTCCAGCGCCATATCAGTCTCGTCGCTGTGCTCGCCGACGTAGCAGATGACTTGGGATGCGCGGTCGTAGATGTCAAACATGCGTGCAACCTGTCTAGTGCGCTCGGCAACGTTTAGTTGGTCGATGCACAAAGCATCGATCCAGATGGGCCTTGACACTTCCTTGCTCCGTATGGTACGCAAAGCCTGCTCTAGGTTCCGCCGGACCTGCATCCTATGGCCGTTGACAACGATATCGACGGTATCCCCGGCGTTGCCCCAGGTATACGACAAGGCGTGGTAGGACACTTCGCACACCATCGGGCAATGGGCCAGATGGGTGATGACTGGTGCCTCGCGGTCCTCTGAAGGTGCCACGACGAGAATACGGATCTCGCCGACGAGCATATCGAGCGGCACGTAGTCGAGGTTCGTAACGGTCGCATCGTTGGATGGGCTTTTCCCTAGCTTGATTGGATAGATTTTGGGCAAGGTGAACCGGAACGGTGGCTCCGATTTGTCTTGAATGTAGTGCCAGGTCTTGTCCCATTTTCGATACTTTGATTGGATCCTCTTTTCCACTATGCCCCTCTCCAGCAGCTCGGTGACGACCTCGGTCATGCTCACGACCTGAGTTGCCCTTGCGTACATTGAGTCGAGGAAGTCACGGGTCCAGTACTCCTTCTGATCTTCTGCCGAGGAGAATTCTTCGAGGCAGATGTGCCGAATCCATAATGTCACGGGCAGGCGGTGACCGCGAAAGTATCTGAGAAAGACCTCCAACGCGACTGGGACGACGAGTCCCTTGCCATCGATCTCGATGACATCCCTCAGCAGCCGATAGCCTCTACTGTCTCTGATAGCGATGAACGACCCGGCTTTGGCGAGCGGTCGTACTTCTATGCTGCATCTTACGTGGTTCTGTGGATCGCTCTTGTCGCCGGGACACGGATGGAGGATGAGAAAGCGCTGCTCTTGTGCATCTCGGTCGATGGGCGAGTATTCGTATTCCGGTATGTCTAGTTCCCAGCGATTTTCCAGCTCCCTGCGCAATGAGTTCCCAGGGTATGTCATGGCAACTTGGACGGTCGATCAATAAAATGTCAAATACTCCGTAATACCATGCCCTA